GCAGGCATGGTGGCCTGATGGAAGGCCCCTCAGTGACCTTCCCAGAGGTCAAGAACGTGCTTGGCCAACACGTACTCAAGCGCCAAGCGTTACAATCACTGATGTCCTCACACTGTCCGTGCTAGTGCACTGTTTCTTAGAGGCTCGTTTACTTTATTGTTTTGAAGCAGCCACTTCAGCTCACTTCTAATGTGGGGACAATAAGGAAGGAGATAATAGGGTTCAGTCTATAATGCCCTGAAAGAAAGATGTTGATAGAAAGAAACCCACATAGTATTATAGAATTCTTTTAAAGGTGGGAGAAATCACCCAATCCCGGAATCCGAACTGTAAGTGGCGGGCAGGTGATACAAGGTGGTGAAGAGGGCAGGGTGCTGCAAGCTAAAGGCAAAGCCTGGGGGAACTGGAGAGACCACGTCCCACCTAGAGGCAAAGTACTCAATTAAAAAAAAGTATTGATCCAATACAACACACCTATCACGTGCTGTGATTATGATTTGGCCACCTGACTCCCTGGGCTGGAATGAAGAGAGAAGCTGTCTGCCTTCCTGGGAGGCATGGAGTGGTGGTCCTCATGCCTGTGCATCTCCTTGAATCAGTCTGTATCTCCTATGGTGTAATTTCCTCGTTATCCCAAGGCTACAGGGTTTGCTGATGAAAGTGGATACTCAAAACAAAAAGCTCATGTTTTTACTTAAATGAATGTTAAAAATCAAAACAAAACCCACTACAATAACAGTCCAGCAATGTACACACCTAAGTCTGATGCTAAATGAAGTCTTGAATCTATTAAACAGCAAGTACCAAAGTACAAAGTGGTTTCTCCATAGCAGTTCAACTCTGGTCCCTGATGTGTAGATGGACATCACACTAGATCCAGGGAACACTTTAAAACCATTGTACTCCTGTGACTAAACAAGAAAAGATTCATAAATAAGAAAGTTTGAAAAAATCTTTAGTCTTTATCTCCCTAGCTTTACATCCCATTATTCTGGGTAACTGATATACATGAAAACATTCTCCGTTTCAATTTAGCTAAACCTCTGACTCACAGGGAACAGCTTTTAAATTGCTCACATAATTCTTATCAATCAGCTGGTTCAGTGTAAAGGAAATAGGAATACAGAAACCTAATCACTCCCCCTGTGAAGAATCACCATGTCTCCCTGATCAGAGGAAGATCAGACCCGAGAAAGCCTCTCCTCCAGACTTCCAGTGGCCTGGCTATTTCGTTTTAATCTCAACACTGTTGAGCTGTTCTATAACTTGATGAGTTTTCTGGGCAAGGCTGGATGTTACAGACAGATGTCCTAGGAAGGCCTAGTGGCAAACACTGTACTGCTAGAGGCCGATGTTCCAAGCACACTATATGCACGTGGTAACATGGGCTTCCTTGGCAAACTGGCCAATTGGAAATGCAGTAATGGCAATAGGCTGGAGTGAAGGCACACATTTGGGGGGAATAAGTCATGGTATTTTTATTGGTTTGCTGTATTTTACCCTTCATTATAAATAGATCGTGTCAGAGTTCAAATTAGAGAGAAATGAAGAAAACTAAAAATGAGCTACAGTGAGACCATAAAACCACCCAAGTCAGTCAGTGAATTCTTCTATGGTTGGCAGCTGTCTGTTTACTATGTTCTATTGGGTCATTATTATTGGAGATAATTCATCTTTCAAATTGCCACTGGGTGCATTTCCCATCATGAGTAACAAAATACACAGCCTTCATGAGAGAAGTGCTAACTGTGGAGGCAGGAAATGCATGTCTCATGCCTGCTCTTCCTGCTTGTTATGCAGATTCCAATGCTTTCCTGTCAAGCTCTGCATGATTGGACGTGACCTTGTGATATCTGTATTAGCTGGACTGTAGTGGAAATTCATCCACATCTGATTAAACTAGATGATTGCAACACAGCTCTCTTGGGTTGGAACTAGCTCTTGTTATACCGGCATACTTTGCATCAAGAAAATATTTAGGGTAAAAGAGACTAAATGATTTAGACTGGCCAAGTTGGTAGGTAGGCAAGTAGGAAGTCAGGTAAGTAGACAGACAGACACACGAATACAATCAACTTACTGAGATCTAAATGGTAGGTAACATAAATGTATCCATTTAAGTGTAGAATGTACTTTTTTACACAAGAACTTTTAGCCACAAGATGTCCTAGAGAGATCCTTGCTCACCCTCTTCCTCAGCGAAGCTCAGAGAAACTGAGCCACGCCACACAGGTGGCCACACAGATGGTCAGTGGCAAGGTGGGGAGGCATGCCCAGCTTGGAGGTTCTAATAAAAATCAGCCCATTGATTTGGCCATTATGAGTAGAGACTCACCCTTCTGGGGGCAGAGACAAGACTTCACATAGCAGCCTGTGTATATACCACAGCCCTGGTTCCTGACCAGTTAAAAATGAACATCCCACTGCTGGCTGCAGAGAGGAAGAAAAGGAAATGAAGGAGAAGTGTCTTAGGAACAGTGACATAAAGGGGGACGAAGGGTTATGGTGAATGAAAGACTGAGAGGGTTTGCTGAAAAGTGGAAGTCTGAGGTATTAAAAGTAATTCCAACCAACATTAGCTTCTAGATGCTGACAAATAAAATTTGTAAATGACTTTTAAATTGCTTCCTCTAATAACAAGAGTGGTTATTGTCACATTGATTTTGAAATTAAATGGTATGGAATTTTCTTGCTTTAATGAGAAGGCAGATCCAACTGGTAAACAAAGTAATGATTAAAGCAATGAAAAGAGTAAAAATGAGTAATAAAGTAACAACATTCCTAATCTTTAACCCAAATAGGCAGGTTTTGCTGATTTACTAAAAAAAGATGCTTGTTTATCTTGAGGTGGAAAAGTCAATTACTAATGTCGTTTGTTTAAAACTCTGCCCACACCTGGTTCTCATTTGTCTTCCAGCTGAGAAACCAAAGACAACTTCTTTTTATTGTGGTCAGACAGCAAGTTCATTTCGCTATTGGATGATCAAACGGCCAGCCCTCCCCAGCTTGGGAAGGTTTGCCTTTCACTTTCAACTTGTTCAATCATCATTAAATCCGAAAATCGTCACATTCCATTTGTGCAATGAAAATTTCACCAGCAGTAACCGTTTGGGTGCAGTTTTGTAGGGGAGGCCCTAAATCTTGTAGAGCACCTCACACACCCTCAAGGTCATTTGCCCTGTTTCTTGTTTAATGACAGTTACCTATGATCCTGGAGTCAGTCTGCGACCCAACAGCGGTGGCTTTGAAGACCTCTCTGTGTGTGGGGACATATTACTCTCTCTGAGATTGAAAGGGCTCACTACATGATTCGACACATGCACGTTATCTGAGAAAAATCAGGGCGCGTGCACGCGCGCACACACACACACGCACGCACGCACTCATACTCCCTTCTGTGTTGTGAATTATGTGCACACATACTGGAATTTTTACCAAGCAATAGTAAAGGTCTTTAATGAGGAGACACTAATAAAAACTTGCTGATGGAGCCCATCTAATAGCAGGCTTCCTCACTCTGAGCGGCCAGCTGCCCTGGAGGGGCTGCAATATCAAACTGGGGGGGTTCCAAAAAGTTTCTGGAGAGGAGAAATGGGCTTCTTTTTACTTTTGCCATTCGATTGAGAAATCTTCATCTTCTTTGTTAATTATTTAATCATATTTCCCCCTCTGCAGAGAAGTTCTGAAATGTTCAATCCCAGTAAATCTGGCACAGGACCAAATTGCCGAAGGGAGCACTCCAAATATGAATTTCTGAAAGTGGCCGTCAGGTGGCAAGATGGCTAAATTAAGAGGTCACTTGGTCCAGAGTCTTAGGAAAAGCACAGAGTCTACTGGGGCTAGTAGAATAAATTTTGTGCCATTTGGTAAGTCAGTCATAGCTAAATAGGCTCCAGTTATAGGCTCTGATGATTTTTTCAAGGTGAAAACTAAGAGAATGTATATACAGAGGTCTCCAAAGTCTTAAGTGCTTAGGCACTAACACACTTATTAGATACTCCCCAAGAAGGGCTTCTTGTTTTCTAGCACTAGTTTTAATGCCACAGTTTCACCAAGTTAGCTGCTAAAATAAGGTCTGGATTATAGATACAATATGGCCCCTTTTAGCTAGCTCTGGCTCATAATATTAATATATTAGAGTATTTATTATTGTTAGTACCCAATTTTTAATTGACAGTAGAGTTGGAAGATAGGAGAGAGGGCAGAAATAGTCTAATGAATATTTTCCAATTCTTTTGGCTAATATCAGACCCTGGGTCTAATGAAAAATCATGTGTCTCCTAAAACATGAAAGAAGATGTCTTGTCATTTTAATGGCTGGGTGACAGCACCACCATTTAAGAAAAGAGATCCCAATACTAGGTGATTAGCTGAAAAAAGTTTGTACAAAATTTCTCAGGAAAGGTATTTGTATTCAAACACTTGCATATGTGTCCTATATTCCTCTAAATGTTTTATAAATATTAACTCCTTTAATCCTTACAGTAATTCCAAGAGGTGAAGTGACTTACCCAAAGTCACAGAACGTAGGAAGTCTGGGTCTATCTCGTACTCTGCAGCTATGTTTTTCATGAAGATCTCTCAGAGGCATGTGCAACCCAAATGCTCATTTACCTGTTGCTTCCAGTTGGGCAGATGGTGTGCAAAGAGAAAAGTGTTTCATCTGTTTGTTCTACTTTATAGGGATTGAAAAATGGAGATCAAGTCTCTAAATTGCCCCTTTTTCTTACACTGATTTCTTCTTCTACTTTCTTGTCTCCACCACTGTGGAGGTCACCCTTGTACTGCTGGATCCTGAGTGAGCTGTCCTCGCTGTGTCTGTGATGTGCATCTCTCTCTCTTTCGCACGTGTACACGCACACGCACACACGCACGCGTGCACACACACAGAGCTATTACCGTGCTTCAGTGAAGCTGTACAGGGTTTGTGATCCGGGCATAAAAGCAGACATCATTTGCTCATTAGAGCTAAGTTTTCAGGACGTGCCCCACTTACTGACCTCCACTAACGGCCTAGGTTTGCGCTCGACTGCAAACCTGAAGTGGCAGAGTTCACAGTAGCTGGTGTTTGAGGACGACAGCCAGTGCTCCAGGCAGCTCCGATGAATTGTCCCCAAGGTCCCCGTACATTCACATGGAGAGAGCAAGTCCTCTTGGCTGCTGCCCTCATGGCAGATCCTGCACATCGGCCGGTCATTGAAGGGGCTGCAAGAGAAGGAGGGGGCAACTGCTGGTCACTGGGCTGGAAACCACTGCCACATGGATGGCCGCTGGCTTCTGTCCTTTGGGCCCTCCCCAGTGGCAGCTGCTTTAAGATCCCTTAGATCTACACCTGACCTTGGCAGTGGGGCAGGTGCTCCTGGGCACTCCAGAGCACGTGGGCCATCTACTTTCTACAATACAAAGAAACAGGGGGTGGCCAGTATCAAAGTAGCCAGGTGTGGCATAGGATCAAAAGTGAGTAAAAATGAGCAATATATTATTTTTGCCTTAAATATAGATGTAGTTCAGGCCAAGAACTAATCAAAAAATAAAAAGCCATCCTTCACCATTAAGAACAGAAATTGTTTTGAAATGACAAATCGCACCTTTGGGATCAGGCCAGGGCACTTTTGTATACCCAGAGGTTCCTTCTGCCTCTCTTTCCAGTAGGGTGGGAGGATGACAGGAGGGCAGTTAACTAACAAGCAAGCCGGAAGCTGCCACAAAGAACTGCAGTCTGAGCCAGAGCACAAAGCCGAGTGGTGGATGGATGGGGCTTTGAGCTGTCACAGGATGCTCTCTGGGACACCAAAGACACTAAACTGAAAGCGAGTAATGAGCATGTCCTGCCCAGGTGGCCCCAGCCCAGAGCTCTGCCTTGGGTTTGGAGGCGCCACTCCTGCACGTTCCATGAAGGCGGCGTGCGAGGGCAGCGGAGCCCAGCCGGCTGGCTCCAACCCCAGCTCTTCGCTTACCAGCCGGCTGGCTCTGGGCAAGTAACTTCACCTCCCTGTACTTCAGCCTCCTCATCTCTAACATAGGCACAAAGAATGGTGATGGAGCCTTCCTCATTTGGTGACTGTGAGGATGAGAAAAGACAGTCCAGATTAGAAGTTTAGAATAGGGACCAGCACATCAGGCCAAGGAAAATCAAATAACTTGGTCCTCATCACATAAGTCAGTGGCCGATGGAAAGCCCAAACTAAGATGTACTCAGTTCTTCGTGGGTAGTCTGTCCTGTCTGGGAGCCAGCCCTCTCTGATCGATGTCCTCTTATGTTGCTTTGCTGTTCTTTGCTGGGTATTAGATTTAAAAATATGTCGTCATTATCTGTGACAGCCCTAAGACTCTTTACCTACCCTCCCCTGCCTCCCCCTATGTCCCCCCAAAGATGACAGTGACCTGGGCCCACGCCCCAGCACTCCCCTAAATGCCATCTTTAGTCCAAATGGACAATGGCCATGGAAGCACTGCTGTTCCCTTGGGGACGAACAAAGGCTATGCGGGGACCAGAAGAGGAAAGGGTCCCCTCCTGCTTGCCCCAAAGACCTGCTTGTGCTTTGGGGTGGGAGAAGAAGTTGGAAGAGATGACTTTTTTGTCTCATGATTCCTAGTCTCCTTCATTCGCATGGGGCCTATGGAACTCCAAGACCTTCTGGTTTACATTACTGCACGGTGAGAGAGCTGGTATAAATGGCAGACAGACAGACAGACAGACAGACACACACACTGGCTTTCAGGTCCCAGCCATGTCGACTGCAGCCAGCTCTTCCTGATCAGACGAGCTGTCTGACGGCTGCTGATGGCTCCCGTCCCCTGTCTCATCCTGTTCTGAGTCCTACCCAGTTGTTACTAGTTCTCCGAGAAGTGAAAAATTATATATTAGATCCTTTTCTATTTCTTTCCTTTGCAATAATAGCTGCACAGATTTTAAACAGAAGGTATACGGGCAACGTCTACAACAGGCACGAGAGTGAGACTGCGCGTCCGTCCCAGGGCCACTGCGCGCAGGCCGCGGTGCTCGGAGTCCCGCACGGCCCGTGTGTCTGCGGGCCGTGTCTGCACCGGAGCGGGGTGCGCACGCAGACCCAGGCAGCGCTAACCCTGGGGGCCAGTCCAGAGCTGACACACATTTCACATCCATCGGTCTGAAGTCCCACTTCCCCATTCCGAAAAGAGGCCGAAGAAGCCAAGGGGCACCGTCACACCGGCAGCCCCGCTCTGCCTGCCACGGGACAGCAGCGCCACAGAGGAGGTGGTGCGCCAGCCGGGACGAGCATCTCCGAGCTGCCCATAGCCTTCGCTCTTGCCCCGGGTCCCCGCCAGAAGGCACAGGACACGGTAACGACAGCACTTCATGGAGCAGGTTGTGTGTCGTAGGTCAGGTCTGGGGGCCGTGCAGGCTCAAGGGGGGAGCGACAGAAGAGACCCCACCGGGTGAGAAGAGACTCGCCTGGGAAGCAGCCCTGACGGTGCTTCCCCGGGCCATGCCAGCCAGCCGCACGCCAGGAAGGTCACCTCAAAAGTTCTGCTCACAAATCTAATCACCTTGGCTCAGTCACCCGAAATCAGGTGCTTTCTTCATTCTATTCTAACAGGGCCACCTCTGTCAGTTCCCGGAGAACAGAAGAGCACGATCCGCAGGACGTCACAATAACAGATGTAGGGCCAGTGGCCCGAGTCTTGCGGGATCCTCCCCTCCTGGCTCTCTGCAAGTGTGACTTTATGGGAAAAACTCAACAAGGTGAATTTTAGCCTCACACCCTGCTGCTATAGAAGCAGCAATGACAGAACTCATGTAGTCGGTTTTTCCCAGCACCTCCTATCCCCTAACACAAAGGCCTGAGCACTAATTACATTCCCTTTAGCATTTTCCATCTGACAAAGAGTTCTCTGGATCAATTACAGAGTCATTTATTTGAACTGCGGTACTACCTCTGGGTGGCGAGAGTCCGCACTACTGTTGACAGCAGCTGCCCGTCCTTGGCTGAAACTTGCATGACATACTGCGGCTGCCCATTCACTAGGCTGCCACAATCCTCCACCGTCTTCACCACGGGCGCAGCCGAGCTGGTGCAGTCTGGCAGGACTTCGGGCAGGTGACTGCAGCGGCTGGTTGTCATGGTAACAGACAGCAATTACTCTGCTAATGGTTTCCACATTCATACAGGATTTCCATCTAAGAGAGATCAGAAAACAGTTTACTTGGGCAGGGTGGTTAATCAAAATGGAGAATTACGGGCCATCAACATCATCATGTCATTATTTAATATAAATAACAGGGGTGGCCTAGACACGGCACATTATCTTGTTGCCATTTAATACAAGTGTGCATACACACACACACACACACACACACATATGCAAAGAGTCCACAAGAAACAGCGGATGTGGTTATGACTGAGACAGCAAGCACGTCAGTGTATATAAACATGTAGGAGCCCTCCTTTCCCAGAGAGGAAGGAATGATGGCCTGGATTGGAAAAGAAGATAAGCAATACCCCCCCCGCCCCCCACCAGAGAAGCCATACGTCTTTGTTGACACTCTTTAAAAGTTACTAGAATCATTATTAAAACTGTTTGCAACTATTTTTTCTGGTAAGCAATTTATTCTCCACGTAGCTTCATTCTGAGATATTATGACTAAAAAAAGAGAGAAAGAAGGGAAAAAATGAATTTGGCCAAGTAGCACATTCTAGCACAATGTTTGCTAAACATGAATCATTCAACTACTGTACCAGCTTTCTGACTTTTGCCATACTTGTGCTCTGTAATACAATTTTCTACTTAGTATGTCTTGAAAATTAACTTCTTTAAAAACTTAACCTATGTTAGCTTTGTCTTAAACACAGTTATTCATGAGATGTTGAATATGATAAGCTTATTTTTTTTCTAATGATCATTAAAATAAACACATTAGCATTGATATTTTTGTCTGTGTAGCCAAAATCCAGGGGCACATGCATCATCATAGGGAAACACACAGGTTAACATAAGAAAGTGATGAATGAGACCTCTGTCGCCAGTGAAAAATAATCCATTAATAGTAAGGGCCTCACCCCCCTGGTGCGTGGCCTATCACATAAACTTCGAGGAATTATGTTTCCGATCTGCACGGTGCAGGCTTGGTCGTGACCTCACATTCAAAGCACTCAAACCCACCACAGTGAGGAACCCCAGTGTATCCAATAAAAAGTCCGCGTGTGATGCATAAGAAACAGAGGCTTTTACAGAAACCTGCAGGAGGATTCTGTCCGAAGGTGAGAAGACACAGTTCCACGGCCCACGTGTGGTTTCTGCCAGCCCGCCCAGCTCAAGCTCCTGAGCCCGACACGGCTGGATGGGCTGACGGACTGAGCTCGCATCAGTAGCCGGTAGGTCAAGGCCTCAAGCCGAAATAAATGAAAAACTTGTCCTCCCCGCAACCACCAACCCTAATCGAAGGTTTCCACAATTCCTCAAAGGGTTGTTTTCTCCCAGATATTTGTCTCTACTTATTACATTTTTCTTGATCCCTGTAGGTCTGGAAGGCAGGTTCCCAACTTCCAGAGTGTTGTGCGCCCACTGGACGTTCCCTAGGCGAGAACACGGTGTTTGCAGACAAACTTGAGCTGCCAGTTTCCCTCCCGACAAGCACATGTCAAGGAGGCCTGACTATCCAGGACAATTGGACGTGACTGCCATTCCCTCTTTGCTACCGAAGTGTTTGGGCGGCCTCGTGCCAGCAGCCTCCCTTCCCCCCGTGGGTCGGCTCGAGGCCTCTCCACGTCTGTCTGCCCTTGCCCAGCAGCCTTAGACCCGTGGCGGGGAAAGGGCTGTGGACAGCAGACCTCATCTTCCATGCCATTCTCACGACCGTAACACTGAACATTCAAGGAAAACAGACAGACGGTTAGTTGGTGTAGGGTTTGGTTTTGCTGTTTAAACAGGATTTGTTGCTTTTAAAAGAAATATTGCAACAGCAAGAAGTATATAGCATGTTATCAAAAGTACAGAAAAGCACAAAGAAAATAATAAAACTCACTCATAATCCTACCATTCGGATAATCACAGTAAATTGTTTTAGGTAGATGTCTTTTTAATTTTTGAAAGAGTTATCAGTGTGGAGTTGATTTGTTGCCGGGGCCAGATAGCTTTTTTCTTGAATTAATGGTAGTTCTAAGGCCAAAGAACAAAAGGATGTTAAAAGACTATCCCCTTCTAAAACTGTGTATAACTCCCCTCCGCTGGCCTGCCCTTACAAAATCCCATTGACGTGATTTTAAATTCTCATAATGCCTCACAGTCACAAAGCGTAACTTCCTGGCACAGCTCTGCTGCTCCACAAGGCAGCCATAGATTAAGAGCCAGGGTTGTGTTGGCAGGAAAAGCAGACACAGTGACCTTCTTGCCGCATGGAATCATTATGTCTGGGTGTACTCTGAGAGTCTATTTTCGGGTTTTGCATAACTCCAGCTCAGAGGGCCAAATGCTCCCTCCCCACACTTGATGGAAGTGACAGGAGGTGGAGAGGGGTGCACAGAGTGTGTGATGGGACCAGGCATGTCGGCAGTTAGGCTGCCCTTAGTGAACTGCCTGTCACCCAGGCATGTGATGTCCCTAAGCTCACGTACCTGTACTCTACACTAAGTTCTCATCAAAGGAAGTAGTTCTAAATGAATGATCTAAATCCATAATAAAATGCCCTCAAAAGTATTCTTGAGGCAGAATTTCCCTTAAACTCACTTTATATATGTAATTGGCTTCTGGATAACATACTTCATTTCACTTCTTTTTTCATAGGCAAAAGGGATATTATCTGATACCTGATCGGTTTATTCCATTTGCAGTGGATACTGGTCCCTGAGTGCAGTATAAAGGTACAAAAGGCACCTCCTACCTTGCCTTCCCTTATGAACAAGCCCTGTTCTCTTTGGACATCTCTGCAGAATCCTGCAGCCAAGATCCTCTAAGCCCTCACTCAATTTAGGACCTAACTGAATGATAGTCCAGTCTAACACTCCCTGAAGAACGTACCAGCATGTCTGCTGTATACCACACATCAGAATAACCTTAAGATACTATGACTGGCATGCCAGATAAATCCCAACAGCTCTAAAAGACCATGGCCTAGAATTAAAAATGGGGTGGGAGGGATTACATACAGCATGAGCACCTTTGACCATGGTAGGGATGGCTGAGTTGGTTCCAATCCCAGAAGAGTGGATCTAACCACTTAATCAGGTGTAGGAGGAGGAAGGGGAGCACATTCTGCCCTGATCTCAGTGAAAGGCAAGCCCAGAGGCAGGCTTGGGGCAAGCAGGAGTGGGCCTGGGGGCTACATGCACCAATTGGCACGCATACATTGCACTTGGGGCAGTGACAAATGGCCCACTGCATTTTCCTGTCTCATTCAGAGCCACCTGGGAAAACAGCAGGCTGTTGCCGTGGATGCTAGAAAGAGCTGAGCTGTCGGTTTGCAGCCTAGCACTGGTCTTCCACTGATCTTTTCTGCAAAATTTAAAGCACCATTCAACTGCTTTCTACCATCCAAGTACTAACCAGGCCATTCAACTGCTTTCTTATCAATGCCAGCGCACTGGGCTTGTGGAAAGTAATTCCTAGTCCACCCAGGAATTCTTCTCTAGGTGATTTCTCAGGGCAAAAACATAATGCTGGGTGTGGTATATATATGAACCTGAAACCTCAAACTACACTGGTAGGACAGGTCCTTTGTTGGCCAGGCTCAATATCTTGTACAATTTCTTTCTCCCGCTGAGAATAATACATGATTTGGCACTGGCCAAACTCAGCCGCACACAGTGGGAAGAGCGGGAGTAGGTGGAGGAGAGGCAGACAGTGAAATGGAGAGGGTGGCAAAATAAATGAAAGCCTGATTGGAGAATTGTTAAAATAAAAGGGCTTGTCTGTTAAACTGTGACCCCTGCAAAAGACAGGTTTCACAAAAGCAGGAGACCCAATCAGGATGCAGCTAACCATCACTGCGTTCTGTAACAGGCTGCCACTGTCAAGTGATTTCCATGGGAACATGGTTGGCATTCTGAGGATGCAGCCACAGGACGTGGGGGAGGGGAGAAGAGCGGGCTCTGCTCACCTCTGCAGCCCCCTTAACTCAGCAGCTCCGCCCCCACCTCCCTGAGGACCCTGCAGTGGGGCAAGAGCTCTGTTCCTGCAGGCACAGCACCAACACCTGCGCCCTGGCTCCCTGCCCACCAGCATACACCACTCAGCCTCCCAAACTCTCCAGAGATCTCCCGCATATTTGAAATTAGGGTACTAATACTTCTTGAGCCATCTCATCTGTTTTTTTGTGCGGCCTAAAACAAGGTACACATGTGAAAGCACTCCACTTTGTAAGTTGGAACGTGCCATGCACAGGTAAGTCCAAATTTTATTACTACATTAATTTTCACTCCTGCTCTTTTTCTAGCCTGAGCTGCATCTCATTTCTGTCTTTTAAAAACCGTCTTTCCCCATGTCTGGTCAACCTCTGTCACCCTGCCCCTTTTGTATCACACTGAACTCTGACATGAACTCTGTGCCACTCCATCTCTCTCCTAGGGAGCCCCGGGGAGCCTTGTCCTTGCACGCCCTCTTCTCATTTCCCTGGCCCCATCACCTTCAGATCTGGAACACAGGTTTCATTACTCCATGAAAATGCTTAATAAAGATGTACGATAAAAAGCTATGATGTTGGAGATACTCCATCTCTGTTGCAGCAGCTCCCATTTCTTAATTAATCTAGCATGTGATGAACACAAGGCACTCCCAAGTCACTTTCCAGGCCTACTTGTATCAGCACTGCATTTTTAATGCCAAGTCAATGTTAGTCTCTTAGACGTCAGTCGAGAAGGGAGAGAAATCTGTTACACCGTTACCTCTGTTTAGGTATAAAAACTACCCCCAAGGTTGAAAGGTGGAAACACACGCATACGGATGTGAGTGATGGCTGGCACTAGCCTGCTCATGTGAGCTGCCTGGGCAGTGGGGTGAGCAGGCCCAAGCTTGGAGGGGCAGTCTGGAGCAAGACTGGATCTCCAAATTCAACCTTAATACCCAATTCCTGAGATTTTGAGAATAAGGAACTATATAAATGATTCCCAAAAGCAATGAGGAGTTACTTATCAATAGGCATAAAGTTTCAGTTAAGCAAGATAAGTTCTAGAGATCTGCTATATGACATTGTACTTATAGTCAACAATAATGTATTGTGCACCTAAAAATTTGTTAAGAAGGTAGACATGTTAAGTGTTCTTATCACAATAAAAAACAATTAAAAAAAAAAGAAGATGTAGGCTCCTCAGGTCTCAGTATGTACTAGAAGGAGCCTGAGTCACCTCCACAACCAGAGTTGGTCAACAAAGCAAATCAAGGAAGCAAATTCACGTATTCATTCTTCCATCCATTCAAATACATTCATTCACTTATTGATTGATTGATTGATTGATTTACAGGGTCTCACTCTGCTGCCCCAGCTAAAGTGCAGTTGTGTCATCATAGCTAACAGCAACCTCAAACTCCTGGGCTCAAGTGATCCTCCTGCCTCAACCTTCCAACTAGGTAAGACTATAGGCACATGCCACTTCTATTTTTTGTGCAGACAGGGTCTTGTTCTTGCTCAGACTGGTCTCTATTTCCTGGCTTCAAGCAATCCTTGCATCTCGGCCTCCCAAAATGCTAGGATTATGGGTGTAAGCCACTGTGCCTGGCCCAAACACACATTAAAAAAAAAAAAGTTTTTGAGAACTTCCTAGGTATTACTAGGAAGTGTCTGGTGGTGCAGGGTCCAGCCATCTCAAATCCTGCTTTACATTTCCCAAGGAAAAGTAGAGGCCACTAAATAGTCTAGACTGCAGAGGTCCTCAAACTACAGCCCACAGGCCACATGCGGCCCACCGAGGACATTTATCCGGCCCGCCGGGTGTTCTTGCTGCCGCTGCCTGTCCTGCTTAGCAGCCGACTTGTCCTGGGCCCACAGTGCCATATGTGGAATGTGCGCCACACTCTCCAATGGTCTGAGGGACAGTGAACTGGCCCCCTTTTTAAAAAGTTTTAGGACCCCTGGTCTAGAGTATCCCCCAGACCTTTTCCAGGATTGCAGAACCACAAGGACCTGGCACCTTTCACTACCCATCCTGCCCTTGCTAGTTCGGGGGAAACCACTGGCTGCCTAGATTCGGGGGAGTGGCACTGCAGCCCTATGGAACGGCTAGACATCCTTCTGCTCCTGTGGAGTTCCACATCATGAACACTGGTCCAGGATTCAGAAGCCTGACCTTAGTTTTACATGAGTGAATCTGCTCTGAAAGGATCTCTAAAATGTCCCTTAGCACTCTTCGAAGAGCTGCATACTCAAGGAGCAGTCTTTTCTAATGAGACCAATGAATAGGAAAGACAAGCCGGTGATTGAAATGGGAAAAAATAGCAGTAATGGCCTGTCCAGGAACTTTCCCCTCTGTGTTAGATTTTTAGACTTTGAATTCTAAGAACAGTCTCTGAGAATAGGAATGCTATGATAGTACATTTCCCTGGCTTTTAGGCATGTTTGAACCAGACAGCAGCAGACTGTATGGCTGATGAACTGACTTAGAATATCCTGAATGCTCAGAGAAAATGAGAGAAGGTAGGAAATCACACAGTGACCTTCCTTTCCAATGAAAACAGAGCAAATGACTAATTTCAAAACCACTGACATGTAAAAGTGGCATATTTCTTCTGAGAACAGGAAACAAAAGCTCTCCAAGGAGATTGCTGGGACATGATTACCAGCAACATTTAAGTTTTCAAAAACATGCCAAGGAGGCTATTCACTAAGAGTGTGTAGTGGCAAAGTAGCTGCTTCATTAAACTTAAATAGCCATGGCAGGGCTTGCTTGCGGACCCACGCTACCAAATTATACATTTCTTTTCTGGATGCTTCACTGACCTCATTATGTAATGCACAGAGTTTGCCATTCCAAATAAAGTGACATCCAGGTCTTTATAAACATGTCCATCAGGCGCTGATGGGTCTGCAGAGTGAGACGCTGGCTGGCTCAATGAATTTTTAAAAATACTTCTCTTTTTGTTGTCTCATTATTTTCTATGAGGTGCTCACTGTCACACGTACGGAGCACAGTGAAGCAGTGCGCAGGTGCAATGCCTGTTTCTGAGCATGAATGAGGGTTTGATTGGGCAGTAATGGCGTATCCTTGAGGACCGTGTGGGCACCAAGGCTGGGCCGCATGGGGCACAGGAGCCGGGCAGCCCACGGCAAGTGGGATCTGGGGAGAGCGACCACGACGCATTCCCAGGGCTGTTTTAAAGTTATATTCAGAGTCATTCGTTATTTCTCATCCGTGTTATTAATTCTGATTCTCAGTCACAAGAAGTATCAGAAATATCAGACAAATCTTTTTTTTTTAATTTATTTAAAATTACTGTATTTTCTCTTCAGCCAGGTAAAATCCTACAGTTCTGCTGGAGGCAAATCAAGTAACAATTATCATATTTATACATATTTTTCCACTCAAGAAGTACTCATGAAATTAATTCCGATTTTGGAGGCTATCCATTTTTTTCATTTAATTTTAATTATATAGATGAAAACGGCAATTAAAAATCCCACAACAACCCTGGGTGTTCACAGACACAGCGGTACTGAATCGCGCTTGTAAATAACAACTGGCTCCTGCACCCTGCAGCCACGGAGCTGGGCCGGGGGCTGCACAGATGGGGCCTGGGCCTGGGAACAATGGAGGCACACCAGAAACCTTTAAACATCAAGTTAAAAATCTGAGGGGAGCAGGCAAAACAGAACAAGACATTTACGGGATGTCAGAGGTTAAAAAATAAAAGTGTATCTTCAGACGACACTCAGTGCGCCCAGTGCCAGTCACACACGCCCTGTCCAGCGTGCGTGGAGGGGTGTGGCAGGTGTGGCGTGCTGGCCAGCGTATCTGCCAATATAAGAGAAAGGCGTCGCAGCCACGATGAGAACTAAATACGCTTATCTAAGCACCGAGAGTCCCTAATTTGTCATTAGGCTCATACACACCTTCAATCTGCATCCAAGTGAAGCCCTACCATTAAGGAAGCTGCTGTGGGATTCATTTCCAAGTTTTACCTCACCTTGCTCTGCGCAGGCAACCCAGCGTTAGCTATCCAGATGTGCTAATTCGTAACCTGAGCCTCCCGAAGCCTGGATAAGCCAGCTGCTGGCTTATTATAAGCCAGGATTCCTTGTATCTTTCCTCTTCCTCTATTCACCAAGACCATGGAGAGGCTACAGTCTTGTCCCTTCACAGGGCAGTGTCCAAGCTCTGATTCCACCAGGCCCAGGCGGTCTGGGCCTCCTGTGTCCCCTACCTCACTTTCAGTCCCTCAGAACCCCAAGGACGTTTTGCTCCATTACATGCAAGAATGACCACGGTCACTCGGCTTGCCAAGGAAGGATAAGGCAAGGGCAGAGTGAAGACTAAACCTTGTTGGATTCTGCACTTCAGCCCTGGACTCCCCCTCATATGCTACATGCTACCCAAAGGCCTCAAAACACCTGTTGTTCTTTCATACATGGTCTAGACCACAAACCTGTCTGGGTCTCTGGGTGTTCCTTCGTGCTTTTTACATCTTTAGCCTTTGCGTCAGGGGCTCTCTGGGCGCCTTGGGGTTGAGGAGACCACCCTGGTTTTGGATCAGGGAACCCTGGCTCTGAACCACCACCCAGATGCTTATCAGCAGGAGCCTCAGTTTCTCCCCTGACGCTGAGGGCCTGAGGCAGGTGTGTACCTGCACAGAGAAGGCTCTTGGTAATGGGCAGTGCTTGTGTCTGCAGTGTAAGGAGGTCATCTCACAACCCTGACGCAGGGCAGGGGCCTTCTGGATCCCACCCTAGGCCCCTTTCCTACCCACCCTCCCCTGCAGTACTTCTGGGTCCCTCCCATCTTTGCAAACTAAGATCTCATGGGGTAGAACTACTGACAGTCTTGCGTAAACTGTGACAGTTGGGCGTAAACGTAGGTAAAGATCACAGAAACTCCCCTCGGAATGACTTTTCTCAGCCTTAGACACTGCTCCCCTCTCCCAACCTCCATACTCACACATGCAAACAGAAACCATAGATTCTTTTTTATTAGTTCCCTAAACTGGTTCTAGTGTTTTAAATAATCAAGATACAAACAAGCCCAAAAATAAAGTAACACATAGCCAAGGACCAAGATAACGGAGATCCCTTTATCACTTAATCTCATTTGTTTCCTGGATTCTTGTGGACCAGAAAATTGGAGAATAGGGTTTCTTTCTTGGTTATGAAACTTACTTTCTACTTAGCTCAATGCAAAGCACTTCTTAACCTCTTAAAAGGAACCTCAAGGCATTATTTTTCTAGTTGGAGCACATGCTCCTTGCTGCTCTTACTCCTTTGGCAGGACCTGCCTGCCGGGGCTGCAACACATGCGTCCTGACCTGGCTGGTTGCATCAGTTCCCTGCATCTTGGTACCAAGCAGCCTCCCCTGTGCAGCCCCATCTGTCGGAAGGTCGGCTTCACCCGGACCTGCCCACTAGGAGGACAAGTGTGCTTCCCCAGTGCTCCAGGGAAGCCAAGTGTTTAAAGCCCGTTAGAAACGCCCAGAGCGTCAGCTTATAGAGAGCTTGTCTTCCCACCAGAATGTCCCCATATGCCCCTCGGCCACTCAGAAGGAAGGTCCTGAACCAAGTATCTTGTCTGATCATTTGTTTGTATACCCGGCCCTGCCAAAAATAATGGGTGAGGTTCCTCAACTTGATTCAGCCTGTCCGATGGAAGCAAAAACAACTTTATATTGACACTGAATTAAATGACTTTCTAAGACAAAACAACTAAATAATATATAGAGATCTACCCTTTTAAATTTTCATCTGATGGTAGTTTTCCTTCAGAACAGACAAATAATTTACACTATTAATAGCAGTAGTGAGAGTGTATTTTCCTATTTTCACAGCACTATTCATTTTCCATTTTCTAAGTGCTTAATAAATACAGTGGGTCTTTACTGCCTTCTAGGGTGAAAATAACAGTTATACTCCCATGGAGCTCATTCATTTGCTTTATGGGCTAAAAAATCTCTAGCGTGTCACAAATTAACAGAATGTTTCTGGGGACTGTGTTTTATTCTTCTATCTCCAATTTCACTAATAAATGTGAAAAACACATGTAGCTAGATAAGTCCCTGGAGACCAACCCTGCAGATGCTGAAGAAAGCAAGTTATTCCAGCTAAGATCAGCAGTAACTTAACAATGGAGACTATTTGTTTCCCAAATTCTGCTCCAATGGCCTGATATAAGGCAATGACATTGATTTCTAGTGATTACCCCAAAAATCCAAAAACAAAAAGTTTTTTGTTTAAATAAAAGGAAATCTTTGGAAATAATCAAGATGGCGGATGAGAAACACCGCCAGACAGAGTGTCTCTGCAGAAAAGACAGATTCTAGCAGAAATTAGAAGAAAGAAGCAAGCAGACGCGCACACATCAGACGAGTGTCAGAAGGAGGGGTACCTGAGACCATGGGAGACTCGACAGGAGGAGGTTGCGGAGGAGAACCGGAAGCAGAGAACTTCCGAGTAGCCTGGAGACCAGCGGCAAGGGTAGGTGGCACGGTTAACTTTCCCCCTCCCTGCATCTGGGACTGCTGGTGGGCTCCCCAGTGGGTGGAGAGACCTGCGGACACCACCCCAGAGACAGCCACCGCCAGTGAGCGGTAAGCCAGTAGTGGACACGGCACCAGGCTCCCAACTCCTGCAGGGCACTTCCCTGTGCACAGACCTGAGCCGCGTGGCGGGCGTCATATTGTCTCATTCTCCCCTCCCTGACCCTATCCGCAGTGGCCAAGAGAGACAATATAGCCACCAGCTGGAGGGACCTCCAGTGAACGGGACCTTCCCTTTTGGGGACCTACAGCTGACTGAGAGGAACTCAGACTGTGAGCTCCCTACCCGCCAGCCCTCCCAGGTGCTGCTGGCCTGGTGATTCCAGGAGAATGGGGCAGACCCTGAGGCTGAGAGACATAGACTCAGCTTGGGCTCCCTGTGGGTGAATTGGGACTGGCACGCCTCTCCCTGGTGGGGATATAGTTTGAAGTCTGGGGCCCAGAGGTCAGACCTTCAGACCAGATCCCGTGCACCCAGGTCTCGCATTGCCTGGGTCACAGAAGGGAGATTCGTGAACAGCCTACTGAGGTGTGTGTGCCTTAAGGGGCAGATCAGCATCCTAGAGGGCAACGCTCCTCCCAAAGGGAGGCCGTGCGCCCAGCCCAGGTGGCATTCCTCCGCAGGGAACTTCCCGGCTGGCATCACAGCCAGGGGAGACCTGGTAGCGTGTGGTCTGCCCTGCTGGCAGAGGCCCAGGAGTAGCCCCAGAGTTGGGGAGGATGGAAAGAAGTGAGGCCTGCTCCAGACTGCAAGTCGCAGACAGCCCCACCCCCACACGTAGACATTCTGACTGAGCCGGGCCATTCCAGCCCCTCCCTGACAGCTTTTCCTGGAAGCAGAGAACAGAACTTTGACCCCTGCTAATGACACTGGTGGTGCCTGAGTGCAGGCTTACCCAACCCAGCTCCGCCCAGACTCTATCCTAGACCAGCTTTCACTGAGAGGGGAGAAAAGGACACACCTGGAAGTTCCAGGGCCTCGCCGACCACCTGAGGCACTAGAGTGCCTCTCCGGAGGAAAAAGAGCTGGTTACAGGACACAAAAACAACAGCGTAGCCTGTTCCTCCAAGCAGGCGCCACCTACTAACAGGGGGGACATTCTGCACACCCTTTTCACAGCACCTACTGACTCATCATACAGGGAGTGGTCGAATCTAACCCACAGACATGACCTATCAGCTCAGAAACTAAACAAGGCATGTAAATACCCAAACGAAAACCTAAAGAAACAACAACTGATCGACATGGGAAGAAATTACTGAAGGAACTCTGGAAATATGAAGAACCAAATAGAAACCACACCCCCAAAGAGGAGCACCAACCCCTTAGAAATGGACACCAATCAAAATCAGGCAACCAAAATGACAGAAGAGGAATTTCGAATGTGGATCATAAGAAAATTCAATGACCTGCAGGAACAACTTGATAACCAACACAAAGAAACCACAATAAGCCTCCAGGACCTGGAACAAAAATTCACTAAAGAAATAGATACAATGAAAAAAAGTTTAACCGTACTCCTAGAAATGAAGAATCAATTCAGGGAACTACAAAATACAGTGGAAAGTCTCAAGAACAGGGTAGATGAAACAGAAGAAAGAATCTCAGAGATTGAAGATAACACCTTCCAATTAAATAAATCAGTCACAGAGATAGAGCAGAGAAACAAGAAAAAGAGCAAAGCCTACAAGAGATGTGGGATTATGTGAAGAAACCTAATATGAGGGTCATAGGGTTACCAGAAGGGAAAGAAGAAAACACTCAAGGGTTGGACAAGCTATTTGAAGATATAATAGAGGAAAATTTCCCAGGCCTTGCTCAAAATCTCGATATACAAGTTCAAGAAGCTCAGAGGACCCCTGGGAGATTCAATGCAAACAGGAAGACGTCACGACATGCAGTCATCAGCCTGACCAAAATATCAACTAAAGAGGCCCTTCTAAGAGCTGTAAGACGAAAAAAGCAAGTAACATACAAGGGAAAGCCAATTCAAATAACACCAGACTTCTCTACTGAGACTTTACAAGCAAGGAGAGACTGGGGCCCCATTCTCACTCTTCTGAAACAAAACAATGCCCAGCCTAGAATCTTATTCCCTGCAAAACTAAGTTTTGTATATGAAGGAGAAATCAAGACATTCTCAGA